ATATATCAATGGAAAGATAATTTAATCAAGAATGTAATGCAACAAAGTTTGTTCAATTGTCTGTACTGTATTCTATGAAATGTTATAGCCAAATAACCAGAAAAAGGAAGCACAACTTGCTTAGGTTGATCTCATGTAGCTTTCCTTCATCTGATTGTAGCCAATGAGCATGAGTGTTTAGAAAGCCAATTGGGTGTCATCTTGTTTTGGCCATGAGCCAATCAGATCACAGTAGGATCCGGTTATTGATGTCCTGCATTGAAGCTGAGAGGAGGACATTTGTCAGTGTGTTATGTGATTGCTATCAACTTGGTGGGGTTTTTTTGTGTTCTTTCATTTAGTGAGCTTGTAAAATGTAATAAAATTAAAAGTCATGGTGCAAAGAGTTGACTGGTCACCCAGAAAGCCATGTAAAATAGTCTTATTAAGTGAACAAGGCTACAGTTATAAAGAAATTAGAAGGAAAAATGGATGGAAACTTAGCCAAAGGTGGCATTTCTACTGTACACTTTTCCCCAAAAGGTTTCCACAATTTTGGCCACTACTGTAAGTAGCACTCTTGAGCGAGGGTGAAACAGACTTTTAAATGACAATCACTTAACTGGATACGCCCGGAGGGGTGAACAACCAGAACTAGAATGGGGAACTTTTTTCCCTTCGGGCCCGAATGACGTGGGAAAATTCAGATCCATCTGTGGTTCTTACCTAGATTAGAAATTAGAAGAAAAATGGGTGGAAACCTAACCCCAAGGTGGTTACTGCTTCTACGGTACACTTTTCCCAAAAGGTTTCCACAATTTTGGCTACTACTGTATAAGCAGAATTTTAAAGAAGGAAGAAAGTAAGTTTAAAAGCCCCGAATTCGGGTTCTGCCATAGGACAAAGTAAAACCGGAACGAATGTCCCGGAAGTTCAAGTTGGACTATCCCTGTCCTTTAAATTGAGATGGTACGGTTGTTTTTTGTTTCTTTTTTTTTTTTTAGCGGATGACGGAGATTATTGGAGACTTCTGCCCCCTGGGACCTACATTGTGAGTGCCCAGGCCAGGGGCTACAGTAAAGTCCTAAAGAAGGTGACTCTGCCTGCAAAGATGATAAGAGCCGGTCGGGTCGACTTCATCCTGCAAGCCCTCAACGGAAAGTTTAGAAAACTTCCCGCGAGACGACCCTATGACCCTCTGGAAGACTTTGATCCTCATGCCCGGACAGAGCTAAGAAAGAACGGAGAGCGATCGGTCGGGCCAAGAGAGAAGCCTTGGTGGTGGCCATATTTCAGTTCTCTGAATCAGCAGAAACCTTTGTGGTTGCTGAAGCAGAGCTGAACTATTTTATCCTGCGCCCGTCCCCGGCTACGCTGGTGGTTCCCAGGGGCGTTTCCATTGCTACCTGGCCTGGAACTGGAATGGAATGGGACTCTGTTGATCTAACATGGCTTCTCTTTTCCTCTCCTGCATTTCGTTTTCTCCTCTGCATTAAAATTTGCTACGTATTAAAATTAAAAAAAAAAACACTCGATGTAGCGGTTGTTTCCTTATTACGGTGTTTTCCTCCTTCCAATGTCGTTAGTCACCAGACTGATTATTTCTCACGACTAGAGGGGGTGCTTTAAAGTTTGTGATCCCTTTTGGCATTTCTGATGATGATGATGATGATGATGATGATGATGATGATGATGATGATGATGATGATGATGATGATGATGATACTGCTACTAATAATAATGAGGAGGAGGAGGAGGAGGAGGAGGAGAAGAAGAAGAAGAAGAAGAAGAAGAAGAAGAAGAAGAAGAAGAAGAAGAAGAAGAAGAAGAAGAAGAAGTAGTAGTAGTAGTAGTAGTAGTAGTAGTAGTAGTAGTAGTAGTAGTAGTAGTAGTGGTAGTTGGAAGGGACTTTGGACATCATCTAGTGAGCACACAGAAGAAAAAGGCGGGGGGGAAGGGAAATTCCCCCTCCACAGCCACAGCAACTAATCGCAGTGCAGATTGCCTCAGGCAGGCACTATCAACTCTGTGTTCTGGCTCATTGTTCCAGCTACTAAATTTAAACATCATCTTTCCATGGTGCAGGGCGACTGTCCTGTCTGAAAAACAGACTCCCACACTCTTCTCCACATGTCTGGCCAAGTCCTGAAAGCTACAGAATGTATTTTTATTGATTTATAAACGCCCAGTGTTGAAACCCTCCTTCTCTTTGTGTTTCTCCTGGGCTGTCTTCTCTCTCCTTTGCACTTGCTTTTCCTTCCTCTTATCCCCCTTCCCTTTTCTCCTCAGAGTGTCAAGTGGTCCTCCCTCCGGCCAGGGTTACTTCAGGCCTCTAAAACTGCATCCAGCTGCCCATTACGGATGACGAAGGCTTCCGAATTGCTGGAGTCCGGCCCAGTTTGCTTCTCCTTCTCCTCCACCGCCGTGTCTTTTGGTGTTCCCTGAAGGTGGACTTCAGCACGAGTCTGAAAGCTCGGAAGAATAAACCTCTGGTTCCAGGGGCCGACCCAGGTTGGATCCTGCAGGACTATCCTGGGACATGTACATTCGCCTTCATCCGTCGGTTTTTAGTCTTCACGGATTTTTTCCCCCTCTCCTTTGGTGTTCCCAAGATAGGTGATCGAACTTGGCATCTCAGCCTCAACGACTTGAACGGCTCCCTGTCGTTGATCAAAGTCCGTTTTATACTCGCCACGAGTGCAATGAAACTGTGAGCGGAGAGCTGGGTCCGTGGAGAGCGTTCAGCGTTGCCTGAGTGCTCGGAAAATGCCAATTCCCCAAAGTAGAAACCAGGCACATCTGGATCCCATACACCCTGCCAAAAATAAAGCTTTGCTTGAAATGAATGCCATGTGAACTTCTGCATGGACCACAACCGTCACAGGGAAGCACCTTGGCTGAGAAAAACCCACCCCCACTTCTTTCTCAAGTCAGCCCAAACAGGTGGGGTTTCCCAGGCTTGGAAGGACACAGGTCAACTGCCGAAGAAGGAGAAAGTCCAGCTGGCCCCAAGATGTGCTGGAGAGCTGAAGGGCAGAAGAAGCAGGAAGTAGTCCCCCCACCACCACATGGTCTCCTGCATTTCCAGCCAGGTCAGCAGCCCATCTTGAAGAGATTAAGGGTGACATTTGAGGAAGCAAAGCAGAGGCGAGCAGCATTGGAGACGGGATCAAGCACGCCTGGATTAAGGCTTGGTGCTGGGATCCAATGATGAGGGAAGACTTGGCAGTGACCTGGAGATATTCATAAAGCATCTCCTGAGAGGTCCATGCGGGCTCAACCTGGCAGCAGAGGTTCTTCCAAATGTTTCCAAAGTGATCTTTGGCAACTGACTGTTCATTTGCGGTTTGTTTTCTGTTCTGTTACTCATCCGTACTGTGAATAGTTGAACATTGGGCTCTATCAAAATGAAATCCAGTGGTGGGAAAAAAAGTAAGGTTCTACATTTAGGCCAGAAAAACCAAATGCACAGTTATAGTATAGTTCAGGGGTAGGCAACCTTGGCTCTTTTATGACTCGTGGACTTCAACTCCCAGAATTCCTGAGCCAGCCATGCTGAGGGGAAAGGGAGAGGTTTCCAAGCTGAGCCATGCTGGCTCAGGAATTCTGGGAGTTGAAGTCCACCAGTCATGAGGGGGCCATAGTTCACCCATGCTGGCTGAGGAATTCTGGGAGTTGAAGTCCACAAGTCATGAGGGGGCCATAGTTCCCCCATGCTGGCTGAGGAATTCTGGGAGTTGAAGTCCACAAGTCATGAGGGGGCCATAGTTCCCCCATGCTGGCTCAGGAATTCTGGGAGTTGAAGTCCACGAGTCATGAGGGGGTCATAGTTCCCCCATGCCGGCTCAGGAATTCTGGGAGTTGAAGTCCACGAGTCATAAAAGGGCCAGGTTTAAAGACCCCTCACTTAGAGGAACATATGAAAGCATAATTAATGTTAATTAATGTAGTCTTTATTAGTTTAGAGCAGGGGTAGGCAACCTTGGCTCTTTTATGACTCGTGGACTTCAACTCCCAGAATTCCTGAGCCAGCCATGCTGAGGGGAAAGGGAGAGGTTTCCAAGCTGAGCCAGGCTGGCTCAGGAATTCTGGGAGTTGAAGTCCACGAGTCATACAAGAGCCAAGGTTGACTACCCCTGGTATAGATGGTCCCTGGCTCAATAGTAGTGAGAGGGATCTTGGAGGCCTAGTGGATGAGCACTTAAATATGAGCCAGCGGTGTGCTGCAGTTGCCAAAAAAGCCAATGCAATCTTGGTTGCATCAACAGAGGGATAGAATCGAGATCATGTGATGTGTTAATATCACACTATAATGCCTTGGTAAGAGCACACGTGGAATTCTGCATCCAGTTTTGATCGCCACGATGTGAAAAAATGTAGAGACTCTGGAAAGAGTGCAGAGAAGAGCAACAAAGATGATCAGGGGACTGGAGGCTAACACATATAAAAAACGGTTGCTGGAATTGGATACGTCTAGTTTAATGAAGAGAAAGATTAGGGGGGACATGATAGCAGTCTTCCAGTATTTGAAGGGCTGCCCCCAAAAGGAGGGGGGGTCAACCTATTCTCCAAAGCACCTGAAGGCAGGACAAGAAGCAAAGGATGGAAACCTATCAGGGAGAGAAGCAACCTAGAACTAAGGAGAAATTTCTTGACTGTGAGAACAATTAACCAGTGGAACAACTTGCCTCCAGAAGTTGTGGATGCGCTGACACTAGTCTATCTCCAGTCTACCTCACGGTCCTTTCAGCAGTTCCAAGAAGGCCCCACACCCATTTGCACCACTCAGGTGACCCTGAGGACACAGACAAAGCTGCAAGTGGCCTCAAGGACTCCCTAAAAGGATGCAAATGACCAGCTATCTACAAGGAGTATAAATCCTTCCATTCCCCCACCATCCAGTCAGAGCTGAAGAAGCTTCTGGGATGAGAAGCGAAAGGTCTTCAAAGAAAAACAAGAAAGTCCAGTTGCCTCCTGAAAAAAAGCACCTTTGGGACGACCATGACATGGATGACGGAGAATCTCCACAGACATACAAACTCTGTGTGCAATAACGAATCTTTCTCTCTGGACCAAGTGGAGAAAAACCTTCCATGTTTCATGGGGCTTCGCCAAGTGTCCAATCCAAGCTTTTGGAGCCCGAATTAGAAGCCAGCTGTTGCACCCCCAGGCTTGATTTGAAGGGGGAGAAAGAGAAGGAAGGAATGAAGCCGATCCGGGGCTGCAAAGTTTCGCCGGTGGACTTTGACTTGACCTGCCTGCTTAGCCAGTAGCAATTCTCCCTGGTTGGGATGAGGTGAAAGGTTACTAATTAGTAGGAGAAACTAAGAAAGGCGCAAGGCCGAACACTGAGCTGTCATCCCAAATTAATATTCGGCCACTCGTATAGGAGCCACAGTTATCCATGTTTGCTTCAGGTCATTGCTTCTAGCTGCCAAACGAGACACGGGAATAATAAGGTATTTATTTCTCAGCTCTTCCTGTCAAGACCGTTGCGACTGACAGGCAGAGATTTTTCTACCGAAACCCATTCCTGTTTCTTACACAATGTGTATTCTTAATAAGTGTCAGACGTATTAAGTCAAGTTTTCCTTGCTTTCAAACTTTTCAAACTCGTGGCTCTGGGTCCTAAGTAGCCCACCGGAAGATTTGAGTCGGAATATCAACGTCGGTGGTTCTAAGTGGAGATAGGCCATTTTAGGTTTCTTTCAATATTACCGATTCTCAAGGCTCAGGTAGTGGATGCCTGCCTTCTCTGGAATTTTCCATGCTGTCTCCTTCACCTTGCTTTGACCAGGCCTCACTTCAATTCCTGGGTCCGGTTCTGAGCAGCACCGAGTAAACGTAAGAGTTCAGAGGAGGCTTCCAAGTTGATGTCCTGGAAAGCAAGGCCGATAGGACAGGTTGAACGATCCGGGTATCTTTATTTATTTATTTATTTATTTTTATTTTTCACTATACACCATACACCAAAAACTACATAAACATAAATCTTTTCTTCTAACAGAACAGTGCTTTACATTTTAAATATTCTTTACATCTTATTTACATTTTATGTACATCAATAATTATGTCTTTTTCTTTCTCTGTTCTAGCCAATTATAACATTTATTCCAAATTTCATAAAATTCTGACGTCTCCTTGTCTTTTAATTCTAACGTAAGTTTGTTCATTTCTGCGCATTCCAAGATTTTATACACAATCATATCATTTGTGGGAATATTTTCACTCTTCCAACATTGCGCATATGCTATACGAGCTGCAGTCAATATGTGTATGATGATGTGTTGGAGTTGTTTTTCCATCTTTAAATTTATTATGCCCAAAATAAATATTTCTGGTTTGAAATCCATTTGTATCTCAGTTATCTCCTGTATCCAATCTCTTATCCGTTCCCAATAATTTTTTACTTTGGGGCACAGCCACCACATGTGATAAAAAGTTCCTTCTTTAATTTTACATT